GAAATGTGTGGGTGTTTATCTCTGAAATGTGTGGGTGTTTATCCCTGAAATGTGTGGGTGTTTATCTCTGAAATGTGTGGGTGTTTATCCCTGAAATGTGTGGGTGTTTATCTCTGAAATGTGTGGGTGTTTATCCCTGAAATGTGTGGGTGTTTATCTCTGAAATGTGTGGGTGTTTATCTCTGAAATGTGTGGGTGTTTATCCCTGAAATGTGTGGGTGTTTATCTCTGAAATGTGTGGGTGTTTATCTCTGAAATGTGTGGGTGTTTATCCCTGAAATGTGTGAATGTTTACTCCTGAAATGCTTGTGTTTATTCTGAAATGCATGGGTGTTTATTCCTGAAATGGGTGAGTGTTCATTCCTGAAATGTATAGGTGTTTAACTCTGAAATGCATGGGTGTTTATGGGCGTTGATCCCTGAAATGTGTGGGTCTTTAACTCTGAAATGCATGTGCGTTTATCCCTGAAATGCCTGGACGCTTATCCCTGAAATGTATGGGCATTTATCCTTGAAATGCATGGGTGTTTATGCCTGAAATGCGTGTGTGTTTATTCCTGAAATGCGTGTGTGTTTATTCCTGAAATGCGTGTGTGTTTATTCCTGAAATGCATTTGTGTTTATTCCTGAAATGTGTGTGTGTTTATTCCTGAAATGCGTGTGTGTTTATTCCTGAAATGCATGGGTGTTTATCTTGAAATGTGTGAATGTTTATCCTGGTGTTTGACTCTAGTGTTTGTCCCTAAAATGCGTGTTTATCCCTGAAATGCTTGGGTGTTTAACCCTGAAATCTGTGGACTTTTAACTCTTAAATATATGGTTGTTTAACCTTAAAATGTGAGGGCAGTTTATTCCTGAAATACATTGACATTTTAATCTGAAATGCCTGGGTGTTTATTACTGATATATGTGAGCGTTTAACCCTGAAATACATGAGCTTTTTATCCTGAAATGGGAGGGTGTTTAGCTCTGAAATATGTAAATGTATGAGTGTTTAACCCTGAAATGCATGGCCAGCTAACCTTGAAATGCATGGGTGTTTAACTCTTAAATGCATGAGCACTAATTTGAGCTATTAAATGCATGGAAATTAAACCTGTAAGTGTGTGGGTGTTTATCCTGTAAATGTGTGGGTGTTTATCCTGTAAATGCGTGGGTGTTTAACCTGTAAATGCGTCAGTGTTTATCCTGTAAATGCGTCAGTGTTTATCCTGTAAATGCGTGGGTGTTTAACATGTAAATGCGTGGGCGTTTATCCTGTAAATGCGTGAGCGTTTATCCTGTAAATGCGTGGGCGTTTATCCTGTAAATGCGTGAGCGTTTATCCTGTAAATGCGTGGGCGTTTATCCTGTAAATGCGTGAGCGTTTATCCTGTAAATGCGTGAGCGTTTATCCTGTAAATGCGTGGGCGTTTATCCTGTAAATGCGTGAGCGTTTATCCTGTAAATGCGTGAGCGTTTATCCTGTAAATGCGTGGGCGTTTATCCTGTAAATGCGTGAGCGTTTATCCTGTAAATGCGTGAGCGTTTATCCTGTAAATGCGTGAGCGTTTATCCTGTAAATGCGTGGGCGTTTATCCTGTAAATGCGTGAGCGTTTATCCTGTAAATGCGTGAGCGTTTATCCTGTAAATGCGTGGCCGTTTATCCTGTAAATGCGTGAGCGTTTATCCTGTAAATGCGTGGGCGTTTATCCTGTAAATGCGTGAGCGTTTATCCTGTAAATGCGTGAGCGTTTAACATGTAAATGCGTCAGTGTTTATCCTGTAAATGCGTCAGTGTTTATCCTGTAAATGCATGAGCGTTTATCCTGTAAATGCGTGAGCGTTTATCCTGTAAATGCGTGGGCGTTTATCCTGTAAATGCGTGAGCGTTTATCCTGTAAATGCGTGGGCGTTTATCCTGTAAATGCGTGAGCGTTTATCCTGTAAATGCGTGAGCGTTTATCCTGTAAATGCGTGAGCGTTTAACATGTAAATGCGTCAGTGTTTATCCTGTAAATGCGTCAGTGTTTATCCTGTAAATGCATGAGCGTTTATCCTGTAAATGCGTGGGCGTTTATCCTGTAAATGCGTGGGCGTTTAACATGTAAATGCGTCAGTGTTTATCCTGTAAATGCGTCAGTGTTTATCCTGTAAATGCGTCAGTGTTTATCCTGTAAATGCGTGGGTGTTTATCCTGTAAATGCGTGGGTGTTTATCCTGTAAATGCGTGAGCGTTTATCCTGTAAATGCGTGAGCGTTTATCCTGTAAATGTGTGAGCGTTTATCCTGTAAATGCGTGAGCGTTTATCCTGTAAATGTGTGAGCGTTTATCCTGTAAATGTGTGAGCGTTTAACCTGTAAATGGGACACAACCTCTCTTTCTCTTGCTTTCTTTCTGTCTTTCTTTTGTTCGTTCTTTTTCTCTCAGCTGATCAGACACCAGTGATTTCTCTCATTCTTACACACCCTGTCTGCTGCTGTTTTGGTTTGGATTCTCAGCCAAGAGCCCTGAGGGAGTAAAAAAAGTCCTGCTGCTCAGCAGTATTAAGATTGTTTCCACTGCCGCTGCTGCAGTCTGCTGTGGCAAAGCGACGCCAGCTGGTGCCATGTGCTTCTCTGGAAAGAGGAAAATATCATGTATTTATTAATTCAAGATGTTCGCCCACACAAAAGAACGTTTATATAGGTTGTTTCGTCATTAAACAGCATCATCCTTTTCTATTTTTCTGTTTACATTCTGTTAAAGCGAAAGTTTGGCAACAAAATTCACCCCCCCCCCCACCCCACCTTACTGCAGATGTGGCTGATCAGTCAAGGCATGTTTGGTGTCTGAAGTTTGCTTCTTTAGTTTTAGCGCTGGAGCTACAAGGCTAATGTATCTAACAGGTAATGAAGGCTTATACCCCACCAATTAGCATGGTGCTAACTGCATGCCTACAGTACTGTGTATTTCTTTTAATTACATTCCAGTCAGAATGTCCATTTATTATTCGTTTTTCAGCGTCAGGAAAGCATATTTAACCGAAAATCACACCAAATCCTCATCAGCTGAATCGACCCTCAGCTGTCTGACTGTTCAGTGAGTCACTCTTTCCCTTTATTCCAGCTTCCATTCTGTTCAGGAGACTCACTTTCAGTTCCTCAAAGAATCTGCAGACACACCTCCAAAGTTCAGTCTTAGAAGCTGGTTGATGATTTTCTGAAGTAATCAAACACATTCAGTGGTGTTGAGGTCTGGACTCTGGGGTGGTCAGTCCATCGTTCAGCTTCTTTGTTTGATGTGTCCGTCTCCTTTTCTCAGTGAGGTTCTTCTTGATCAGCTACACATCCTTTCAGACCCACAGCGCTGAGTCGTCTTCTCACAGTGTAGGGATGGACAGAAACACCTGTGGATGTTTTCAGATCTGATCAGCTTGATTTTCTCCTCTCTCTCAGAGATGAAAGCTTTAAGTGCTGTTTATCTGATGGGGGCAGTTTTGGGGTTGACCAGGTCTTCCAGGTGGTGGTTGGGAGCCCTAATCTCCTCAGAAATATCTAACTTGTACTTAATGACTGTTATGACCAGAAAGGATTGTCTGCCACCATTTGTAGTTACGTCTGTTGTCTATTTTTTAAGTGGCAAGAAGGAAAAATGTGTAAATATGAATTTCCACCAAACTATCACTTCAATTATTCCTCTTTTTCAGCTATTTGTCTGTACAGTGTGTACTCATATGTGGGTGTGTAGATGTTAGACCTTGAGTACTTACTTATGTTTGTTGAAGAAAGGGGTAAACACAAAGAGCCCCCGCACAACTGCCCCCCCACCCATCTACCCACCCACATACTCGACTTTGCACTTATTAACTGGCTGTTTGTGCTGACGCTTTGAGACTAATAGGCTTATTCCGCATGTAAGGACACTATAGCCACGTACACAGGGCCCCTGTTGGGTAACTTACTAGCACTCAAGGCTTTTCCAGTAAGGACTCCTCCTCCACCCCACCAAAACAGGCCCTTTGATGTCAGCTGGAGCTGCAAGCAGAGCGATCACTGCCAAATATTTAACCAGCCTTCATAGAGCTCCTCATTTTCATTTAGCTTTATTAGATCCACCCATTTTTAATGGAGTTATTGTTCTCTTTGGTTTTCCACTCATATTCACAGTCACACACAATAAGAGCGCAGATATTAAAGCGATAGTTCAGGGGAAACTCAATCAATCCATCCGCATGAAAGAACTTTTACGTACTTTTACAGCCCATTTCTCCATTAAACGGGAATTACATTGATTATTATGAAATTCCTCCATAATTCAGTGTGTGAGATGTAAACAGAGTGACTCAGAGTGGTTTGGTGTGAAATGGTTCAGATGTCTTTACAGTGGTGGTGATAGGAACCAGGGGTCGCCATGACTACAACACAAACATAGACATTTTAGTTAATATCAAAAAAAGGGACCCTCCATTTGATCCCACTTCTATTACTGTTATTTGTATTCTGTTAAAGCGATAGTTTGGTATAATTGACCCCCACCACCTCGAATGTAACGATCAGCCGAGACATGTTTGGTGTCTGAACTCTTCTTCTTTAGCTTTAGCACTGGAGCCATCAGGCTAATGTAGCTCACAAGTAATGGAAGCTTATTTATATGCAAATTAGCGTGGCGCTAACTGCATGCCTGATTTATCTCCCATTCGCCTCAAATCTCAAAATGGAGAAAATTACGGAGAAAAGTCAGTCTTCCAGGTGGCTGCTATTGCTTTTAGCTATGCTGATGTACTTTAATCCATGATTATAGATAATGGTGAGTGTGTTTACATCCACTCAATAATCAGATCATAATCAGTTTTCTGCAGTTCTCTGATTATTCAAATGGTCATGTAAACAGCACACACTGATTTCTTAGATCAGAGTAAGGTCTAGAAATCTGATTAAGAAATCTGATAAAGAGGTTGGATTTTAGCTCAGTAATCAGATTTCTCAGTGCTGTGAACTCTTACTCTGATTTCTTTCGGGTTTCTCAGTCTGAGCATGTGCGAAAACAGACGGCGGGACTGGAAATAAGTGAGCAGCGTCACCACGAGATGCAGCAAAACCAAACACATGCTTGACGAAATGAAGGTTTTAAATATTCTTCATCTTCTGGATGAAGCAAGTTCATATTTTCAGGTAAAGTAGCACGATGTTAAATGTGAAATCCGATTACTGTCTGACTCATGTAGACCTGGAGTTTCCCCTTTATCTGATTATTACCCAAGTGCAGGTAAACGCATTGATTGTATTACTGACAAAATCTGATTTCCTGCAATCATTGGATTATTAAGTGCATGTAGACACTCATTGTGTCATGCAGTGTCAGAAACCACTTAATTAAATCTATTATAATTCCACACAGACAGCAGTTAGCGCCGTGCTAATTGGTGGGGTATAAGCTTTCATTGGTGACATTAGCCTTGTAGCTCCAAAGAAGCAAACTTCAGACACAAGCCTTGGCTGGTTAACAATATTTGGGGAGAAACTGGGGGAATTTGGTTCGGGATTAACTATCGCTTTAAAGTGGTTATGATATCAGCTCAGGAGCCTCTGTTGCTCTCGTTTCTGTGTTTCCGTCAGTTTTTGTCTCCATAATTCAGCGAGAGCGGAAAGTGCTGACGTGAGCGTTTGGGCCGTAGTGGTTTTCTCTCTCGCTCCACATTTCTGCTCCTCTCCGGCCTTCTGGAACGTTCATGCAGGATGTGACATCGTTATGTTTTCCTGTGTGGGGGCCTTTATGCCTTTTGCAGCTACTGAAGTTTGAACTGTAGAATTCATTACTGTCCGTCCTGTGATTTATACCTGTTTCTGTCTGGAGGCCGGCGATGACTTTAGCAGGCCGGAGAGAGAAAAACAGAGCGAGAGACCACAGTGGAAACATCAGCAGTGCTGCATACATCAGCCCTCAGAGTGCAGAGCTCACAGCAGCAGACAACAGGCTGGAGCCACCAGATTAAACCGTTAGTTTTTCCTAATCTCAGGGTCTGTGGTTTGGTTCTCTTGGTTCTCTAGGAAGTGATCTGTTCTGTTTCTCTTCTCTGTGTTCAGACTGCAGGCAAATCGGATTCATTTCACTAACCAGATCTTTTGAGTCGACTGTCCGCTCTGTTATTTGCGAGTGATCAGATCTAATTTGTGTGACCAGACGTCACCAGTCTATCTGTATGGGTTGCCGTGGTAACGATGTAGGCGTCAGTAACTACGTAGCTAATCTGGTGATGTGGATTTCAAACGCGGATGCAGGAGAGATGGAGGAGCATCATCTCCCCTCCAAACTCTTCAGAACTCTCTTCATCATCATGAATCTTTGGAGGTCTTCCTGAATCCCAGCACTTCATCACTCTGGATTTGACATCATCGCTGTTTGTCGTGTTGCGAGTGACGCAAAAGACACTTAGAAATCCGATTTGAGCGTCCAGAGTATCCAGACTGGGATGTGTCAAAATCTGATTGGAATCACGTTTCAAACCACCTCCAAATGTGGTTTGGATCCAATTTGGAAAAAATCTGATTTCATGTGTTTTTGCCGTCCAGACTATCAAAAATCAATCTGGATACAATCTGGACAGTATGACAGAAATCAGATTTGGGCTGGCAGTGTGAACACAGCCTCAGCATTCACACCGACATGTTAAACATCAAAACAAAAGATGTAAACAAAAGTCATATGGGTAAAAACGTTGCGTTCACATTATTAGGCTGAAGTGGCACTAATCCGAATTTTTGCCTTGACACAGATCTGATGTGTTCCAAGCTGTGTGGACACATTTATATCCGTTCACATTACACGCCTCATTGCTCAAATCGATTTGTTACTCAGATCTGATGTTTCTAACTCGATGGTTCACATTCGTGTAGATAAGTGAATCAAATCTGTCATAATGTGAACGAGACTGCGAGCGCAAATCCTAATCCGTAACGTCCCGTGAATGAACCACATGCATGATGAACAACAAACAAACAGGATCAGGAGCCTTTATCCCAAACATCATTCCCTCTGACCAGCGCTCAGCTTCATTACTGGAGTGAGACAAAGGAGAAAAACGCTCAGATACACTGTTTTTGCACTGTTTACTGGCACTAACTTCACATTTGGCTACACTGCCTCATTAACGCTGAACGATGGTGCATTAGAAACACATGAATTCAGATCTGAGCGTTCTCATTATTTCAGTTCCTACACTGATAGATGCTGGATTTACTCTGTTACACTGCAGTTCTAGTAGTTACTCTGTACTTAAGTAGTTTTTTGACCCAGTACTTTGGTACTTCTACTCAAGTTGTATTTTGCAGGGATATTTTTAGCTGTGTCGTCATTTTACCAAGGTATCAACACTTTTACTTGAGTATGGATTTAAGCTACAGTAACAGATGATCAGGTGTATAATTACAGATTCAGAGCTCGTTAAGAGATTATAAACACATCCACATTTCAACAGAGCCTGTATGCTGGAAACAGTGCAGGTCTGCAGAGAGGAGATGGTTCAGTCTGTGTTGACGTC